GGCAGATCATCGATTGGATGACACGTAACATTTATCCGATTGGTCCGAACATCAGAAATAGAAGGCATCAGCCAATCAGAGCACGAGACATTTTCTTCGCCGCGCTAACATTGGCTGAGGCGTGTGTGGGGTGACGTATTAGAAGGAACAAACAAGAACAGTCTTTTTTTACGGGTTATTCATGTCCGTGCCACCTCTTGGGTGACTTAATCTTTATTAATCAATCATCAGAAGTCTTTCCCAGGAGTGGTTGACCAAGGTGTGTGGATCAGGAACATGTGTACATCAGGAACATGTGTACATCAGGAACATGTGTACATCAGGTACATGTGTGGATCAGGAACATGTGTAGATCAGACGTCTGGGAGTATGTCCAGGTTTCCGTGCGTATTTTATTAATCCAACTAATCTTATGTTATCTGCTTATTTACCCATCTTATTATTGAATTTTTATACACTATCATTCTTTTTCTTCTTTCCCATCCCCTCCACACTCTTTGCTCACTCACAGTTAACTTCTTTATCTTGTTCTATTTACTAACTCGTCTTCTGTTATAAATATTTTTTATTACCCATAATTCGGTATTATTTCAACTTTCACTCTCTCCCATTTTTGTTATTCTTCCTCTGTCTCATCCCCTCGAGTCACTTACCATTCCATCCGTGTCTGTCAGCCGCTAGGCTTTGTCTTGTCGTATTTGCTTAAGCTGTAATTGTACTATTTTTAATACCGTGGTTACTGTAGTGTTTGGTTGGATGTGGTAGGTGGCGCTGCATGCTGCCCGGCACCTCCCTCCACGGTGGCAGTAAGTGACTGGCCCTCCGCTCCAATAATACACAGCATTTTGACGTATAAATGGTCAAAAAAGGGCCTAAAAATGGCCCCTAAGGCCAAAAATCTGATGGACTGAAAACTCATAGCGGCTCGCAAAATTGGCGGGATGTCTCGTTTTCTGTTGGCGGGGTGGTCGGTTAGGTTATGTTTCGGACAGTTTAGTACATCAGTTTAGGTACGTTGTGAAGGCTAGAGAGGACGGACAGGGGGTGTGATAGGTCCTTGTGCTGCCACCCACCCGCCTGGCCGCTCCTCAAAGTCACTCACCTTATCTTTATTTAGTCATCTTTTCTTGTGATGGAGCTGTTAGCATTCTCGCCTCACCAGCGAGAGGTCTCGGGTTCGAATCCTGGATGGAGGTAAGTCGGCTATGGCGTCCTTTGCTGCCAATTGTTCCCGTTTTGGTAAGCTTTGCAAACTTAGTAACAAGCAAGTTTGTTGCTAACTAGCTTACCAACCTAGCTTACCAACCTAGCAATAGTTTGGTAAGGTAGTTAGTGGTGGGTGTAACACTGCCCACTGGTCGTGCAGTGGTAATAAACTTCCAGCCCGGTCTCTTGATTTGTCACTCCGTAAAAGAGTCAACCTTCTAGCCTAACTAGAAACGCACAAAATGCAACTGACCAACTGAATCGAATCCGGTGGAAAGAAACACAATTTTGTAGCTATTGTGTTTGTTAGGTTAGGTTAGGATACGTTGAGTTAGGTTAGCTTAGGATATGTTGAGTTAGGTTAGGTTAGGATACGTTGAGTTAGGTTAGGTTAGGATACGTTGAGTTAGGTTGCACTTCAACTCCTGACGATTAGTTGAAGGATAGTTGGCAGACTGTAGATGCTGGGAAAGAATCATCTTACAGATACACATCTTACCATGAGTTCTTCGACATCTTCCTGCCCATCCCCATCCCAGCCCATCCCAGGAGGGTCGCCATCCAGGCCTCAGATGGGAAGGTAGTAGTGGTGGTCAGCGAAGACCTCCCACTCCGGTGGAAGGAATGGTCGCCTCTCACCAAGAGACACTCCACTCACTACATATTTACCCTTTGTGTGTGTTGACTCGCCAAATAAAGTTTCCGATGACACCCTGTTTTGGTTTCGCATATTTATCGACGAGTTCGACTCGGAGAGAACGGTCCCTTTTAGAACGGTGTCTCTGAGAGCACTCTCCAGCCTGACCTTTATATTGGGTAGTGAGTAAATAACATTCCATGACTCCTCGTGCTTGTGTTCTTGCTCTGAGTGTTCGTGTTCTTGCTCTGAGTGTTCGTGTTCTTAGTTTGAGTGTTCGTGTTCTTGCTCTGAGTGTTCGTGTTCTTAGTTTGAGTGTTCGTGTTCTTAGTTTGAGTGTTCGTGTTCTTAGTTTGAGTGTTCGTGTTCTTAGTTTGAGTGTTCGTGTTCTTAGTTTGAGTGTTCGTGTTCTTGCTCTGAGTGCTCATGTTCTTACTCTGAGTGTTCGTGTTCTTGCTCTGAGTGTTCGTGTTCTTGCTCTGAGTGCTCATGTTCTTAGTCTGAGTGTTCGTGTTCTTAATCTGAGTGTTCGTGTTCTTACTCTGAGTGTTCGTGTTCTTACTCTGAGTGTTCGTGTTCTTAATCTGAGTGTTCGTGTTCTTAATCTGAGTGTTCGTGTTCTTACTCTGAGTGTTCATGTTCTTAATCTGAGTGTTCGTGTTCTTGCTCTGAGTGTTCGTGTTCTTAATCTGAGTGTTCGTGTTCTTGCTCTGAGTGTTCGTGTTCTTAATCTGAGTGTTCGTGTTCTTGCTCTGAGTGTTCGTGTTCTTGCTCTGAGTGTTCGTGTTCTTGCTCTGAGTATTCGTGTTCTTGCTCTGAGTGTTCGTGTTCTTACTCTGAGTGTTCGTGTTCTTGCTCTGAGTGTTCGTGTTCTTGCTCTGAGTGTTCGTGTTCTTACTCTGAGTGCGCCTACATTTTCGCTGTTATTTTCTTCCTTTTTTTAATTTAGATTTGAATTTTTGTGTGTTTATATATAATTAGTATGATGGAGTTTAAACAAAATGTTAACCTCCAATGTTTACTCTGTTGTTTAGGGTCTTTGTTTGTTTGTAATTGTCGTTTTAGATTCAGCTACTCAGAACAAGAAGTTCCAGTAGCACGGTCTATGGTGAGTCCGTAAGTGGAGGAGACTCTTTGGAGCCATTATCTATATCAATAGCTACTTTCTCGTTTGTTGTTGTTGTTGTTTTCTTAGATTCAGCTACTCAGAACGAAGTGTCCATGTAGCACAGGCTATGGTGAGCCCGTAATTCCTCGTGTGTTTGTAATTGTTTATGAAGGGGGTTAATGGTGTGGTGTAATGTTGTGCAGCCACTGACGGAGCGACGCCCGCACCACATTCATTACCATTAAGACTCTCTCTCCCTCCTCCCACAGCCCATCTCCCATCTCTCCCTCCTCCCACAGCCCATCTCCCACCCTCCCGTTGAGTAAGTCTGTCCTCAGGTCAGCCAGCTCCCACCCACAGATCAAGGTGACTGTTATGGTTGTGTCTTGCTCTGCATTCCTATGCGTTTGTCTACGTTACTCGCCTTTCTATCTGTCTCTTCTCTTCTTGTTTCTCTCTCCTCGGTTTTCGCTTCTCTCTCCTCTCCTCTCCATGCAGCTCCTCCTCTGACGGTACGCGGACGATGCCGTACAACAGAGCAACAAAAACGGCGACGTCTTAGGGAATTTGTGCTTCCTGTTTATCTGTTGACAGTCTTGTGACGCCCCGGCCGCCCCATCAACAGTTTTTGTGGCAAGGGTCGTCATGTGTATGTCCTTGGCGTCCGTGTCTGCAGTGGAGTCCGTGTCTTAATGCGTCCGTGTCTGCATTGGAGTCCGTATTTTTAGGCGTCCGTGTCTGCATTGGAGTCCGTATCTCAATGCGTCCGTGTCTGCATTGGAGTCCGTATCTCAATGCGTCCGTGTCTGCATTGGAGTCCGTATCTCAATGCGTCCGTGTCTGCATTGGAGTCCGTATCTCAATGCGTCCGTGTCTGCATTGGAGTCCGTATCTCAATGCGTCCGTGTCTGCATTGGAGTCCGTATCTCAATGCGTCCGTGTCTGCATTGGAGTCCGTATCTCAATGCGTCCGTGTCTGCATTGGAGTCCGTATCTCAATGCGTCCGTGTCTGCATTGGAGTCCGTATCTCAATGCGTCCGTGTCTGCATTGGAGTCCGTATCTCAATGCGTCCGTGTCTGCATTGGAGTCCGTATCTCAATGCGTCCGTGTCTGCATTGGAGTCCGTATCTCAATGCGTCCGTGTCTGCATTGGAGTCCGTATCTCAATGCGTCCGTGTCTGCATTGGAGTCCGTATCTCAATGCGTCCGTGTCTGCATTGGAGTCCGTATCTCAATGCGTCCGTGTCTGCATTGGAGTCCGTATCTCAATGCGTCCGTGTCTGCATTGGAGTCCGTATCTCAATGCGTCCGTGTCTGCATTGGAGTCCGTATCTCAATGCGTCCGTGTCTGCATTGGAGTCCGTATCTCAATGCGTCCGTGTCTGCATTGGAGTCCGTATCTCAATGCGTCCGTGTCTGCATTGGAGTCCGTATCTCAATGCGTCCGTGTCTGCATTGGAGTCCGTATCTCAATGCGTCCGTGTCTGCATTGGAGTCCGTATCTCAATGCGTCCGTGTCTGCATTGGAGTCCGTATCTCAATGCGTCCGTGTCTGCATTGGAGTCCGTATCTCAATGCGTCCGTGTCTGCATTGGAGTCCGTATCTCAATGCGTCCGTGTCTGCATTGGAGTCCGTATCTCAATGCGTCCGTGTCTGCATTGGAGTCCGTATCTCAATGCGTCCGTGACTGCATTGGAGTCCGTATCTCAATGCGTCCGTGTCTGCATTGGAGTCCGTATCTCAATGCGTCCGTGTCTGCATTGGAGTCCGTATCTCAATGCGTCCGTGTCTGCATTGGAGTCCGTATTTTTAGGCGTCCGTGTCTGCATTGGAGTCCGTATCTCAATGCGTCCGTGTCTGCATTGGAGTCCGTATCTCAATGCGTCCGTGTCTGCATTGGAGTCCGTATTTTTAGGCGTCCGTGTCTGCATTGGAGTCCGTATCTCAATGCGTCCGTGTCTGCATTGGAGTCCGTATCTCAATGCGTCCGTGTCTGCATTGGAGTCCGTATTTTTAGGCGTCCGTGTCTGCATTGGAGTCCGTATCTTAATGCGTCCGTGTCTGCATTGGAGTCCGTATTTTTAGGCGTCCGTGTCTGCATTGGAGTCCGTATCTTAATGCGTCCGTGTCTGCATTGGAGTCCGTATTTTTAGGCGTCCGTGTCTGCATTGGAGTCCGTATCTTAATGCGTCCGTGTCTGCATTGGAGTCCGTATCTTAATGCGTCCGTGTCTGCATTGGAGTCCGTATTTTTAGGCGTCCGTGTCTGCATTGGAGTCCGTATCTTAATGCGTCCGTGTCTGCATTGGAGTCCGTATCTTAATGCGTCCGTGTCTGCATTGGAGTCCGTATTTTTAGGCGTCCGTCTCTGCATTGGAGTCCGTATTTTTAGGCGTCCGTGTCTGCATTGGAGTCCGTATTTTTAGGCGTCCGTGTCTGCATTGGAGTCCGTATTTTTAGGCGTCCGTGTCTGCATTGGAGTCCGTATCTTAATGCGTCCGTGCCTTTAGTTTCATCTGTTTTAATTTGAAATTTCATTTGGCATACATATTAACCTGCATACTTATATTATATCTCCTGCGTAGATCAGTGTGTATATTAGTAGGGACGTGAGCTGTTGACATTGAGTTTCCGTGGTAAATAGACCATACAAGAAATCATGTTGTATATATGAGTTTATATATAAATATGCCATCAATAAGTCCCTCAGATATTATCTCCTTAACACACACACACACACACACACACACACACACACACACACACACACACACACACACTTAAGACCAAGTCGGTAAGACGGTGACATTTCCAGCCGTAATACACTGTAAAGTTCCTTATGTGTGCACTTTTCAATCAATTCCTCGCAGCTCTTTCTTGAGATGCCAAACAAAGCAAGATAGTGGGGGGGGGAGGGTAGAGGCCATTGATAACAAACAACCACAACCCGATGTATAATCTACTAATATCAAAGTGATGTGAGAATTACAGTCAGCTGTAAGTCTATCTCATAATACTCGACATAAACACGTTCCTTACAGTGTGGATTCTGATCCCAGGAGAGTACCAGTGTTGACACTGTGGGTTGACCTGATCTACTCTCGCCTCCACAACCATTAATTCCCCCTTCTTTATTGACCATACAAACGTCTTCGATACCGTAAATTACAATTACCACCAACCTAAACTTCGACACGATGGAATTAGAGGTCGCTCTCTCAATTATAAACGACGGCCTCGCGACAACACACGCCAATACGTATCCATCAATAACACTAACTCTCCAATTAACCACAGGGAGTGCCCCTGTGGTCAGTACAGCTGACGGCTCTACCCAGATCTTATGCTCCATCTCACCTAAATGTCTGGTCGTTACCCAGACATTATGCTTCACCCAACCTGAAGATCTTCTTCGCGTCAACAACCGTAAAGAAACCATTTTATCAGCTGGTCCATCGAGCGCTATGTGGAGATGATGAGGTTGTCCTGTCTCCCATACCGGGCTCCAGCCTCACACGGCACATTCCTCGCTCCATACTTGATGCCCTGTTAAGAGCCTGCCTGCCTGCCTGCCTGCACTGTGCCACACACCTTCCCTTCACCGTATCGACGGCACACTCACATACCAGAGTGGGGGGACGTCTCGATGGCCAGTCCACTTCATGTTTGGCTGAGCATTCTGGCGAACCTGAGCCTTGTGGAATCGTGCTTCGGTCCATAGCGTAATGTATCTTAGAACTCTCCACGTTTACGCGAAGTCCTGGGTATTGGCGTAACATAGTTCGGGCAGCCAGTGCCCTCGACGCTGTATGACTGATGATGGGCAGTCATCTAGGAGATCGTCGTCAGAGAACCACGATACCCGGTTCTCTCACCATACCCGAAATCAGCAACACTGTTGGTGATTTCAGGGCTATATAGTCAGGGACAATGTTAGGAATAGGAAGTATTTCTGTGTTTACAGAAATGTTATATTATGCATGAATATATATATATGTACAATATTAATAATAATATAACGCCTCCTATGTTATATTGTGCAGATAATATATTGTATTATACAGCCAGTCATGTATTATTATTAGTAGTAATATAATTATGAATTTGTATTATTGTTAATGTTATTATTACTTGTAGTATTAATTTATCACACATTATAATTATATTACTTTTATTATAATTATATTATTTTTATTATAATTGTATTACTCTTGTTAATATTTTGATTCCGTTTGTATATTATTTGTATTACTAGTAGGTAATAGGTGTTGGTAGTAGTAGTAAAGTTAGTAAGGCTGGCGCCTGCCACATGTGTGGTGGTGGCGGGGATGGAGGGAGGGAGGCAGTTATCTGGGGGAAAGCGCCAAGCCATTACGACTATATAGCTTGGTGGCCTGGGGTCAGTGTCGTCAGGCCTTCTTGTTCGGTTATTTGTCTCCACACCCTGTCCCACACACCCTACACCCTGTCCCACACACCCTACACCCTGCCAGGCCTACACACCCCACACGCTGCCAGGCCTACACACCCACACGCTGCCAGGCCTACACACCCTACACGCTGCCAGGCCTACACACCCACACGCTGCCAGGCCTACACACCCCACACGCTGCCAGACCTACACACCCCACACGCTGCCAGGCCTACACACCCTACACGCTGCCAGACCTACACACCCCACACGCTGCCAGACCTACACACCCACACGCTGCCAGGCCTACACACCCTACACGCTGCCAGGCCTACACACCTACCCGCTGCCAGGCCTACACACCCTACACGCTGCCAGACCTACACACCCTACACGCTGCCAGGCCTACACACCCACACGCTGCCAGGCCTACACACCTACACGCTACCAGGCCTACACACCCTACACGCTGCCAGGCCTACACACCCCACACGCTGCCAGGCCTACACACCTACACGCTGCCTGACCTACACACCTACACGCTGCCAGGCCTACACACCTGCACCCTGGCCTCCTCCCTCATCAGCGTGGCGGGTGTTAAGTGGTGCGGGGTGTGAAGGTATCTCTCCTAACTCACTCTTCTAGTTTCTTTAGATCTCGCCTTATCGTTTATCGGCGCACTTCACTAAGACGTAAAGCCACTGCGTCAATTCAGGTGTGTCTGCGAAGTGGTTCTTGCCTCCCCCCCGCCCTCGTAACAGTCACCAGGTATAGTAACGTATCGCCCCATTACAGATTGGAACCAGGACGGACTCACGTCAATTATCTGTGTCTGAATTCTCGCTCGGAAATTCTTGAGTCTTAATTTCCCTCCCGGTATTCCCTCCCACATCTTCCTTCACCACTCTCCCAGTTCCTTCCCGTCCTCCATCTCTTACAATAATAATAATAATAATGTGAACGGGAGGTAATATGGGAAAGGTTACCAGGGCGCGTCTAATCAAAATATTAAATAGTCTTACAAGATATTCCAGACATTCTTCCCCCAATATTGTAACCCTTATTGTAATCCATAGGAGGCCTCGTAGCCTGGTGGATAGCGCGCAGGACTCGTAATTCTGTGGCGCGGGTTCGATTCCCGCACGAGGCAGAAACAAATGGGCAAAGTTTCTTTCACCCTGAATGCCCCTGTTACCTAGCAGTAAATAGGTACCTGGGAGTTAGTCAGCTGTCACGGGCTGCTTCCTGGGGGTGGAGGCCTGGTCGAGGACCGGGCCGCGGGGACACTAAAGCCCCGAAATCATCTCAAGATAACCTCAAGATAACCCTTCCCATCACTGTTGAGCTCCGTTCAAAGACTCGCAGATAAGATAGGATCAATATGATAACGCACCAAGCCAGTGTGTCTGTATAGCTCCTGGAAGACAAGGATCTGAGATAGCACAGAGGAAACATGCCTAACCACTAGGACCATTGGGGATTGAACGCCGACCTGCAAGAAGCGAGGCTGCCTCTTTGGGTTCACCACTTCTACTCCCCAAGCCGGGCTTGGGGGCGGGGTTGACTTGCCATGACCTGATCCTTCAGGCTGTTCCTTGGAGCGGCCCGCATGCCCGCGTGTCCTTGTCCACATGCCCCACATGACAGCTCGGTCGATCCGACTGTGGCTAAAATATTCCATGTTATATTTGTGAAGTTTCTATATGATTATTGTAATGTTTAACGTTTCTTTAGTGAGGCAGGGCCAAGAGTGAGGCAGGGCCAAGAGTGAGGCAGGGCCAAGAGTGAGGCAGGGCCAAGAGAGACGTCGAGGCAGCATCTGCTAAAACCGTCGCCTCAGACTATTACAGCTCAGGAGTCATTGGTCGGCAGCTGATTGGCGGATGACAGGTCTGTCCGCGCCGTGATTGGTGGGACGGGGAGGGAGGCGTCCGGTAAATAGTGAGGACTTTTACAGCCGGTGTTCCAGTACACTATGTACGCCCCAGTACACATGTGTTACGGTCACAATGGGTCGCAACCGGGTTCTTTGCTAGAGGAACTAAAGTTCTGGTATCCGGCCCCTAGTTAGTAGTGGCTTTCAAGGAGTGAGTTTGGTAATGCAAGTAAAACAATGGGGGAGTTGCATTGAATACGACACCATCAATAATCAATATATTCACATATAATCACTTTCCCATCACCTCATAAAATCATAAAGGAAGTATTTCTACACTGATATATACACTAGTGTCACTCATAGGACACTAAGCACTCCTCCATGCTCAATCGTTGCAGTCGTGTCAGCTTCCGTGTTTCCTCAACACACAGTACCGTCCTCCACCAGTACTGGGAAACACCAACGAGTCTACCCTGGCCTCGGGCCAGCCTCTACACAGCCTCACTATGTGCTCCTTGTGAACGCCCACAATCACTCTCCAGCCTGGTGCTGGCAGAGAACATCAGCCTCCCGCTGCTGGGCCTCTACACGGACAAATACAAAGATAGCGAACCCCCTGGCAGGAGCTTCTTGCAACTAGCTAGTTACACTCCTCCGTAGCACCTCACTGTTGGTCGTCTCTTCCGCTAGTCAGTCCCGGGATACGCCGAATTCTGTCACTGCCACTTCACAGGCAGACAGTAGAACACTACACAGTTCGTCTTCAGCGGCGGCTCACTGCTTCCGTAAAGCAGAATGGAGTAGAGAGATATTGGCTGCCCTGGGTAGATTGACTGTCCTCGTACCACAGCAGCCCTATGTCGACTCTGTGGATACAGACAAGTCATCAGTACACTGATCAGTACATGGGACACTAGGAAATACCACTTATGTACTCTGACACAGACATACAACTCCTCCTACAATAGATGGCGCTGATTTTCTAGGCGCCACCTCACCAGAGGTCAGCACCAACTACCTCTCGAGCTGACTAGGACAGGAATCAAGCGCCTCTTGCTGGTATCATCCTGCCACCACC